GCTGAACCGATAATCTTTGCAATGATTCATTTGCTTTTCTCCTATCCCTACTCCCCAACAGTATTAATGGTAATCATATGTTTTTTTGTTCCTAAATTATTTCAGGTTCAGAGAGACCCCATCTGGTACAGAGATTTAATGTGCTGCAGTTAGCATTTTCTGCTGAAGATTCAAACATGAAGAAGCTCTTCTTTTTCAGATCTTCTGCTTCTAGTAATGGAAACAACAATGTTTCTCCATCAACTGATAAGCAGATATACTGGGAGAACCCATCAGAAGATGGCAATCAAGTTGGTGACATGGCCGAGAATAGCTTCCGAAGCCCTAAGGGATTTTTTTCTAAATCTCGAAAGCAAGTAACTGATATCCAGAACTCTAGTAAAAGTCCAGGTCTTAGAAGGAGCCGGTCATTATCATCAGCAGCCTTTCTTGGAAATGAGCCAGCACAAAACAATTTTTCTTCTTCAAGATATCAAAGTAGATCTCCATGCAGTCCTGCAAGTAGCGTTCCTCATCAACAATGTGGCCAATCATCTTGGTGAGGCTTTTGCATCAACTTATGTCTTGTTGACTAAGCGCAAGTACAATATTTTGCAGTCTTGTTTAATAAAAAAAATTCTTCTCGAGGCTAATTATGTTGGGCTTGTGATGCATACCAGTTGCAGGACTCTTACTCCGGAGAGGCATGAGGCTAAACCTTTTGAAGTTCTAGCTGTTCAAAATACACATGGACTAGAGAGGCCATGTTCTGCTGGCTCCTCTAGAATTCACCATGATTCGTCTGGGAGCTCCTCCACTTGCTCTAGTAATATCTCATCCAAAGTCTTGGACCGTTACATTGATGGAGAGCAGGAGGAAAGGGGCAGACAGAAAAACAATTCTTCCTCTAGAAACTTATGTGGGAATGGAAATGGTGGTGGATTCCGTCCTCCGCGAGCTCAGTTTACAGCACCCAATTCACCCAGGGCTCATTCATTTAGAGAGGCTAAAAGTTCTCGTTTTCGTTTGTCATCCAGAGACTGGGCGGAAAATGGATTTGGGCATGAATCTCCCCGGAGACTTGCAAAGAATGTTGTTGAGAGGCTCTCACAGTCTCATGTTATTCAACCAACACATGAAAAGGAGTTTGACCATGATATGCCAGTCACCATTGAGGATATATATGGAAGATCAGATCTGGTTGCCCAGAAAAATTATCATGGGGATGACTACTCAAGCTTGCAGAAACTTATCTATGGAGAAAATTGTGACGGTTTAAACACCGATGAGACTCAAGAAGACATGGATGTGGAATTGGAAAGAAGATTGAAGGAAGCTGAGGAGAATGTCATGCTTCTTTCAGAAGAACTTGAACAGGAAAGCTTTCTTAGAGATAGTGGGTACAATGTTCAGCAGACAGTTAGAAACCTTACTGATCAGAGGATAAACTTGGCACTTGA